GCAAAAAAGTTGCTTGGAACAGTTGCTGATTTCCTTTCAATCTAGTTAAACATTATCTTGCATCAGATCTTTAGTAGATAGTCGTCTGATAACGTTGTGAAATAAAAGTTGACGGTACTTAAGTCTTCACTTTTCGAACTGGGCTGATCGAATTATTAACTCTCTCCAGAAGGGTACCTAATTCAATACAAACCAATATTGAGGTGGCATTGTATGAAAACCGTTAAACTTGAAATAATTTATCAAGATCATATGGGCTGTCTCAAGAGCCTATATTCTGCACAGTCTCCTATTGTAAAGAATATGCATAATTGGAGTGGAATATTACTTGTTACATTGAAATAATTAGCACTAATTCAATCCAATAAAACAAATATTTTTTTAAATGGCTTATTGGTTTTCCGAATATATTCAATTCATTTGCAAAAAAAGGATGATCCATAGTTTCTCTTCGCCTGCTTTTTAGAAAACTTGTTTAATAGGTTATTTTTATTGCGGTATTGCCTTTTATTTATATAGCAAGCAACGGCATTTTTACAATTCTTAGATTTTTTTCGGTTTTATTTCTTACGGTGTTTACCCCCGATTATCAGCAAGGCATTCTTCTGGCTTGTGGAATTGCATATTCTTAAAACATTTGAACGTTTGGTAATATAATTCCTAATGCGGGCTTGTTGAAATATCCGTATCACCAATATACGGTGCAATGCTAATGTTACTCACTTTGTTCAAGTTTTATTTTACCGAATTTATATTTTTGTACCAACATGTGCAATACTAAGTAACTTCAGTAGGTATCATTGCCGTCGATTTGCCCACCTGAAATGTTTGAAAAATAACAATAGAAACAAACGTAAGACAGTTTATAAATTATTGGAACTGTAAAGCTTTCATTTGTGAAGTTCTGCTTTTGTTGAGTTTAAATTTAAGAAATCTGGAACGGGTATTCATAATTGTAACTCTTAATAATTCTCAACTTTTGTCAGAAGTATTTACTAAAACTGCAACGGCAATTAAAATAACCGCTGCGGCAATTAAAATAACCGCTGCGGTGATGCGAAGAAAAAATAGACCAAACTTGTCTTATAAATTTTATTTGGACTGAAAATTGGAAGCTTAGAAACTACTCTCGTGATTTCGAGCTTGAAGAAGTCCCATAATTTTTACTTATATTGACGAGAATAGTTAAGTACCGAATATGATTTTGTTCCCTGGAAGTGAAGTTCTGGTGTTTTAAAAAAATCGTATTGATGAATCCCGTGTTATTAAACCTCCTGTTAAGTACAAAATAGAAGTTTATGTACTATTAATAAAAAATCTCTGCGCTACATTATTTGCACTTATATTTTGGTTCACTTTTTTATCTTATTCTTTTTATTTCTTTATTTTATCTCAAATAAATGCAACATAGCTATATGTATTATGTATAAAATTTGTGCCTTTAGGTTGATAAGATATCCCGTTATGCAGATTTGTTTAGCTGATAAATACGGATTGCTGTTTGTAATATTGCTTACTAAGTTGTATTTTTCGAAATTTACTTTTATGAGTGCCATTCATTTTTGCACATTCTACGTGCAACTCAGACTTGGGCCGCTGGCGAGTCATTTCATGATTCACAAAATGATCATATTACTGATTACCATTTAAACCTTGAATTATTTAGTGATAACTAAGTTAGTAAATGTTTCATTAGTGCAACGCAGGCTCAAGTTATGCACAGATTGAACTCAACAGTGATTTTTAAATAAATCTTGAGATTTAAAAAAGTCTACATTTTAACAAAACAAATTCCGCAATAAAAATATATAATTGTTATACACTTTAATAAAACACATTCGCTTTGAGAATATTTTCGAGATTTGCCGCGCATAAGATGTACAGGGTGGAATTAATTAACTAATACCTATTATATAACAGGATGCGCAAGAACTTGATTCGGCGTTTCAATTAGCCATCAATAGTTTTAAATGTCTGTCCTAGCACTAAAATGTTTCTTTCATTTAACGGAGTTTTTCTCTCATTGAAAGGAATTACATCAGTAAACGGTATCCCTCAGTTGTCTTCAAAGCGGTTTTGCTTCAATATATTTCAGATAGTTGCAAAAAAGCATATAATTACTACTTTTTCTATAACTAAACTAATTTTCGCCTCTAATTTTTTTGTGAAAAATCTGATTTAAACCGTACGTGTTAAGTACTTATAATGTTTAAATAAAGTGTCTTTAATTTTATAGTTTGTACTTAGGTACCTTATGCGAAATTCACTATAAAATTTATGAAAGGCGGAGTCCCAGCCCCTCATAAACTGCCTCAGGGATTAATAGAGACGAAACGCTAGAGGGTGTGGTGTAAAGAGTAACTGGATTATTTTAATTAACAATACATATACATTGCTGCCAACAATAAGTTGTACTCGTAAGTTGAGTGGATTTTGTCCGAGTTAATTAACCGCTTGTTAATTTCGTGTAACCTGATTACTTACCTAAAATTGATACGCATTTATTGCCAATTTATATCGGATGTTGTTACCTAAATTAACGAAAACGTATTGTTTGACGCATTTTTGCATTTTATTGGCGATTGTTCACAACAATTAGCCAAACTTTCAGATCATTGAAACATGGCTTTCGACTTTCAGTTCGACATTCAGTGCTCGAAACAATGCCCGAATACCCCAATATCCTGGGCTCCATGCATATTAATTTTACCCATTCACGTGTTTAGAAGAAAAAAAATCGCCTAGTTTGAAATGAACAGTGAAAGTTTAGCTGAGCCGCTTCCGTAACGTTTTTTTTGAACCGTGACCGAATCGTGAGGTATCAATCAAACGGTACCGCCTCTAGTCGTTATCAAGAATGCAACAAAATTTGTTTTTCCACGGTAAACGATTACTAATTACTCACTTTAGTGTGACTGATTGAAGATATCCCGTTTATAGAACATTGTCCACATGGGTGGTTATATTTAATTTATCTTTTTAAACACGTTTTTTTTTAAACGTTAATTATTATTAGCAAACTTAATATTAAATCGATTTAAAACTCAAATCAACAGAGTGAGAAAGTGTGATTTACTAAGTTGTGTAATGATAAGCAGCAATTGTTCCAGAATTTTTAGCAACTTGTGTTAATAATACATAATTGGTTTAGAATTTGATCTCCTTGATATCTGCAGATCTATATATTTCTGCCATGTCTTTTAGCTTACTGGTGTATTTCACTATTAGTTAAACTCATACTCAAGGAAAAGTCAATATTATATTTTTCAGCACTTTTTCTGAGTACATATTCTATTTATTTAGATTGAGAACTTCAAAATTACATTTGATAACATTATGAAACCCAAACTTAGCACTTACCTAATATTAGTCTTCAACTGCTGATGAATAATATTGTGGGCTCTAAACTTGAAGACTTTTATTGCTGATGGTTTTTAGATCAATAACTTTTAAAACCTTATTTTCAATCTGGCTCGGTGATAACAAATTTAGAGTTTCAAGTGGGTGTGGTTGGAATTTACAAGGATCGAATAGGTGTCAAAACACCCTGCAAGTGGTGTTTGAGATTGTTTTTCTAACTATTATGCCAATTTAATTTTTTTTAAAAAGCTGGGATTTGTCGGTTATATTTTTATTTTTACAAATTGGTGCTATGCATGTTTTTTCTAAAAAATAATCCAAAGTTTAATCGATTTTTAAAATCTATTGCAGATTGTGACGATTTTTCATGTTTTATTGCTGTTTTGTTCCGCTGTTTTCGAAAAACCACAATCTAATCAATAATGCGAAGCGAAATTTAAGTGGCATGAATAAGATTAACAACAATCGATGTTACTGTTCCCTCATTTTTTCAAATATCCCCACAAAAATAAAGCTAGGAGAGTCAAACCGGGTAAGCGAGCTGGTCATTCTTTTTCTACCTTTTGACCTATTCAGTTATGTTGAGGGAATAATTTTAAGTATGTTTCTTTTTATTAATTAATGCAATAAAATTAACCGTTTTTTTGTTTAAATTGTGATATCCGAAGAATACTTGAAAATTGTACTTATATGAAAATATTGAAAATCTTAGTAGAATTCAAAAATAGATAAAAATTTAGGGTATCTTTAAAATTTAAAGTCGATGTAAGTGGCGTCTTCTGGGGCAATCTTGTACAGTAATCCAAACTTTCAAAATATGTAAAAATAAAAATAAAGTCGACAGGACTCGTTTTTCAAAAATATTCGATCAGTTGTTTTGCTCACGATGTACTCGTATATTTGTTTAGTTATTCCTCCCAAATAGCATTAGATGTGAAAACAAAACTGCAAAGACGACATTGTTTGCTAAACGAATATTAATAATAGTACAATGAAAATATCAACAAATAAAATGACATTTACATGGAATATTATTGAAACTTGATCAAGCAAAATCAGATTTAAAGAATTACATTTTTTGTTCGGTCAAATCATTGTATTTAATTCATTACTAAATTCCATTTTGACTTTTTGCCCCTGTTTTTTATGCAAAATACCGCATATATTAGCCAAAACCTCAATTTATCATACTAAGATGCAACACCCAAACTGTAATTTTATTCATTAACTTTGTCGCCATTGTTTGTGAACATTAAGAAAACCATGAGGAACCAAGTCTTCATTTAGCTTATTGTCAGTTTTAAGGACATGGCAAGGATATCCGACCATTTTGTCTAAATCCATAGGTATTTTCTGCGTTCTTGTTAAAGAATAATGAAGCGTTTTACCACCTGTTTGATATTTTCCATGATATAATAGTTAAAGTCGACGATCCGTCACAATAGACTGCGTTTCCCACGACAGGACATCGACATTTCGTAAACTTCCGTACTACCCGGCAAATTTTTAAACTGATGTGATGTTTTGTTCCAAAGCTTTTAAGCAAAACTTCATAAATTATTTAAATTTTGCCCTTGATGTTTCGAAGAAAACTTGATAATTGCCGCATATGAGGCTTGAATTTTTTTACTTTGTTTTAGGGCCCTAGATGATCGACAGCACATCCAGCGATCGCAGGGCCCTCGAGAGAGAGGCCCTGCGAAATGTCATCAACCAATGGAACGCCAACAGACTTGACTTGTTTGAGCTGTCCGAACCCAATGAGGTAAGTAATACATTATTAATTAAACATTCGCCTGTCAGTACGCAACTTACCATTTAGTTCGAACAGGCAAACTCGTGTTTTCATTGCTCTTTTGGACTGTTTTGTCCGTATCATCTCATTCAGATAAATGTAAAAATCCGTCTGAAGTTGTGACAATAGTTTTTCAAGATTGACTATTTATTTTCTCTAGTTTGGGTTGTTTTGGTTAAAACCTGCGAAAGTAACTACTGAATGAATGTGACACTATTGCAAATGTTAGTTATTTTCCCACAATTTTCGAAATCAGGATTATTGTTTTTGGAGAAACACCGCACACAATCAAACGAATTCTTACTAACATTTCGATTAGTTGATGAAAACCTCATTTAGTTAGAAACTTGTTTTGAGACTGCTTGAGACGACTAATTGGAGAGTCTTAATCAGAATCGGACTATTCGCCAGATAGGAAAATAACTTACTTGACTGTGTTTTTGCTATGACTTACTCATTAAGACCTGGGTGTGCGAGAATTATTTTAATTAATTTTATGAAATGATGATACACATAGGGAGAAAATTGGCTGATAAATAACGTAACTTTGTACCCTAGATATTGTTTTTGCTAATTTTTTTAACCATTCCAAACTAAATGTACTTGTTTGGTGCCATTTCCAATATTACAATTGTTCTCAGCAAATACGGTACTGTTTCAATTTAATTTTGTTGCGTTTTCCAACTTGTGGGCTGTTTTCTTCAAAGTTAAGTGACTTCTGAATTCTATAACTAATTTTAATCACTGAAACGCCCGAAATTGTACCTATTGCGAATAATGCGGCTGGATGACTTGATAAAGTTTGTGTAAAAAATAGCAAAAAAAATGAGTATAGTAAAGTACGTTATTACTAAAGTAAACGTTATTACTAAAATGTAAAAAAACATGTTTAAATTACATTTTTGACACTGTATCTCGAAGAGGAAAAAGTGTTTATTTTTCATGAAGAATCCGCGTTCGAACACTTAACCGTGTAGCAAAAAGTGCTTTAATAACCATAGCCGATAAACAGGCGTAAGTTTGTCCCAGAACTTCCAGAATATGTTGACTGGGAGCTGGAAGACCAGTCCTGTTTACCGATGAAGTGAGAGTGGGCTTAAAATCTTCCGATTGATAAGTTTTTACCTGGAGAAGGCGAGGAGAACAATACAGCCAAGCATGTTTATTTTTCCAACTGGTTTTCCGTGATGGTTCAGTTGGGTATTGGCAAAGGCCGAATTTTCTCACTTCTTTATTACGAAACAATTTTTTTTTCTTTAAAGAACGAATTTCTTATCCAAATGTTATAGAGCTACTATAACCTACATACATGTAGTAATTCCCATTGCTTTTATTACCCTCTTGAAGTAGTACGCTTATGTAACTAAATATTTAAACTGTATTTACTCGATTATAATACAAATCAAGACACATGATCAATCAATATCGTAACAAGCAAGAGCCAACCGACTGAATTTATATAAAAAACATACATTTTCTTCATTTTTATTGAAGAAGTAAAAAAAATTACTGATTAATTACATTACAAATCAAACGTTGTGTCAGATTTAGTAATAATTTATTTATTTGATATTGGTTTAAACATGCTGGTTTTAGTATTCTTGTGTAGCGGAAGCTTTGCCTAGAATACAGTTTATACCGGTCATTTTGGTATTTAAATCATAAAAATTGTTTCTTCAGAGAAGTAAAGAACCCCATGGCCCATACATTTTTTTTTCAATCGAACCCTATGTATCGTCGTTCAAGCTTAGTTTATATTTGACGACACAAGGGGAAGACCATTGGGATATGAGCATTTTCAGTTTGCAATAAAACCTTAGTGTAACAAATTACAAATATTTTCTTTACTTTTCTTATACTGGCGCGATAGAAAATATATTTAAAAAATCACAGTACAAAAAAATAATTCTCTCAGGTCTAACTGATCATTGTTTACTTAATTTTTTTAAACTTAAATTTGTTGTCAATTTTACAGTTGGCGTGTGACATAATTTTAATGCGGCTATTAAAGAAATATATAATTCTTACAAGGAAACTGACTTGTAAATATATCTGTTTAACCGGATACCACGAAATTCACTACAAGGAAAATAGCGATAACCTGTCCAGGTGTGTCGGCATATTGAATTTCAAAGTACGTAGCGAAATTATCAGTCCAGTAAGTAAAGAAAGGATTTGTTGTTGACATGGTTGAAAGCCCAACAACGCTAGTTAAATAATGAAAAATGATCTTAATTTTTGTAGCAGGACTTTATTTTTATACGAATGCACATCTTATCAGCATGAATAAAACTATTTTTTATGCGCTCAAAACATGTGTGTGTGTTTATAATATTATACAAAATATCCAATTTGATGTCATATTCAGGTTGTCTGTAATATGTCGGTACAAAATTCTGCTACATATTCCTGGGATGAAAACATGAGGATTTAGCTTAATTTTTCTTATCCAAAAATGGATCCTATTTAAAATGACATATTTTTTATCGCCTAGTATAAAAATAATTTATGGAGTTAAACTTTAGAAGAAAGTATTTTTTTTCACAGAACTCCAAATATCTCAGAAACCATAACCTTCATGTGAAATAAACCTTAATAACCTACAGATTATTCCATGAAAAAAGGCAACTTTGGATACAATCTAGTAATTGGGACACCCTGTAGAAATAAATAGTTTAGAAAATTATTTTAAAATATACCCCTGGCGGTCCTCCATTTATCCATTAAATGATACTTTTAAAAAATTAAGAATAGTTTGGCCGCAATAATCCGTGTCGTTTAATGTGCATAACTCTGTATAGTAGCTTCCACTAGATACAAAACATACATTGTTTTGGATAGTTTACTATTGCAAACATACGAAAACTATACTTATAGATGGAGAACTTAAAAACTACATGGAATATAAGGAAAACATCTTTCCTTGATCATTTCATTTCATTCTATATTACCTCAAAATCACGTCTTTTTTTCGGCCAGTCTTTCTTTCGAAAACCCCCAGGTTATAGTACAAATGCAATGCAAAAACCTGAAAAATCGCGTACAAGTACCTGTTTCGGCGAGTCCAAAATCATGAAGGAAACATACAAATTTACATGTATTCCGTCTTGGACTATGGTTCAATGCTTTAGCACAATAGTCGGTGACCAACCCTGTGAAGGTCAGTCATGCATGTTTCCATGTAACCGAATCAAACTCGGTGAAAATTAACGGAAATAATGCCTATAAAACACCTAAACAGACCGAACTTTGATATCAATTTTCAATTCATAGTCATATATATGGACCTGACATCAATTGAGAGTTATTATTGATTAAAAGTTTGCACACCAAACGTTCTCTGAAAACAGTTATTTGTTTTACTGTAAATAAATAGGTAACCATTACTAATCTTACGAGCGATTTGCGTACCAAACCTTGGTAAAGGTATCAAATCAAGCAACGATTTGTGAAATTCTGGAATATATGCGCATTATGCTTATTAATTCTTTATAGGAAATTGCAACATTTCTAAAGACAACAAATGTTTACTCGAATATCAAGTATAGGCTTGATTGATTAAAAATTAGTTCTATTACTGCATTGTGCATTTACTTAGATATACTACGCTGAGCTTTATTTACATGTTTGTTGTTCATTCATAACAAAATTATAGTTTGTCAGTTACGGGGAAAGTTTTTCAAGTTTAAATAACTCGTTTGGCATTTTGGCTTGGAAGAGGCTTCCGAAAGCCTAGAAGTCTGCTATGACTCTTTTTTTAGTCGGCGGGCAAAATTTTACCCAGTACTGTCCATTAATAGTGCTGTGTAAACTACAAAGTGATTTGGATGGAAAGGAAAATATTTTGGGAATGCGTACAGGAGGTCAAAATAAGATAAATTAACCCATATGGTTTAATCCTATTCTTAATCGTTTCTCAAACAATCGGTTCTTAAGTTTTTTTACATGAGATGTGGTTTTTCACGTAAATTTACGTATTACATTCGTAACTATTACAAACTACACAGTCGACGTGATTGATTAGTGAATCTGTTTTAAAAGGTGTGTAGAGGAATTCAATAAATGAGCAAAAGTCCATTCCGTTATCACCGTATTCAAGACTGCTTGGGGCACAATTTCTATATGTATAATAATCCCCTAAAATTTGAGTTGGTTATGCATTGTAAGACAGGGGGCCACTTAGGTGTCTTACCATTGGGATACTCAATAGAAATTTTGGTACATACAGTGCTAAGGACTCCCCCACACGGAGTGATATGGGGTAAATTTGATTCATTTAAGAGATGTGGACACTCATCATCTTTTCCCTGGCAGCTATAGCATGTTAATTCACCATTGGACAAACCTGCAAGTTTAGTAATTTGTGGTCATAAATAATATAACTTATTTTCATCAAGTTACATTAAATTGTAGGTATTTTACTTCATTACGATGAAATACCCATTATAATTATAAATTTTGTGTAAAAAATACAATTTTCGTATATATTGTTGAATGCAAATATTAACTATTCAATAACATTACCTATTCAATTTTGTCAATATGTCGCTCAAAACGACAAATTTGCTGCTAAAGATCAGCATGTCGAAAAAGTGAAACCCCCTTGTTAATAGTGTTTAGTTATGCTTCATTAACAGATCAAGTATAATCTAGTAGTTAAATTGTCGTTTTGTTTATCAGTAAGATATCCACGTCTAGTTGCTGAATTTTTTGAAAGATAAAAATTAATCTATTGCAACATATATTTAAGAAACTCTACAGAGTGATTTACTTAGACTGTACCTTAGAAGTTTTCCAACTTGCAGTTGGACGTGTAGTAAAGGAACGGTTTTAAATTAAAAACCCAAATTTTGTAACATGTAGCCTACAAGCACTGAAATTAAAAATTGTCGAAAAGCCAGGTTGGCACCTACTAACTTTTTGGTCCTGTTTGATAGAAACTTATACTATGCGATGACTTGCTTTATTATTTCCTATACCTAACTTGATTCGCTGACGAGTTCTTAAAAAAATGAAAAATCTGTAGCTTTCCAATATATTGCTCGGCTTGTCAGGGTGCAATGGGAGCAGTTGAATTTCAGCTAACTATATACCAAATTGGGGTTGTAATTTAGAACTATTCCTTAGAAATCGCTTGTTTCTTAAACATCGCCATTGGACTTTTTTAAACAAATGAAATATTAGAGACTATATAATAAAATTAGAGTTTGCCCAAACTCCCAATTGGAAGGACAATCCCAACATGCGAAAGAAATTTGGAGTTTGCAAGTAAAATAAAAAAGGTTCTACTTTTTATACACCCTGTATAGCTGAAATATTTTACATGGTTTCGGAATGCAAAGACCGTTTGTAGTTTATATAAGACCTGCAAGTTGGAAAACTTTTAATGTGCGGTCTAAGCAAATCATCTTGTATAGATGGTGTGTTGTTGTAATTTGTTCAGAAAAGCGAAAAAATTATGTGAAGAGGAAAATTATAATGTTAATAGATAACTTTCTCAATATTTAGTTTTGTTAGCGAATGCAGCACAGACATAATAATTATTTGTGAAAGGCATGGTTTAGTCTCGGCTTTGAGAAGGAAATTATTTTTGACTATTATCAAATAGAAATTGAGTTTTAAAACAGGGTACTACTCTATACAACTCAACCAATGAATAATTAACGATTAGTGCAGATGGAAGGATTAGTAAATAATAAGCCATAGTTAATTAATCTCAATAAGTTCTAAATCAAGTTGAATCATAGAATAATTGGACGCAACGGTTTTTCCGCGGTATCTCCATGTATTTGGTGACGACCACTTTGAGTTACTGTTACTTTTACGATTCAATCAGTGGTTATTAAAGGCAATTGTTTTCAATATTTTAAAATGATAGTGGCTATTGCAATTACATATACTGCATTTGATTACTTAAATATCAGCTGTTTATTTTTCAAAAAATGGGTCGGACGCGTCTAGTTTTGTTATTAATTGCGCATTTTCCACGTGCTAAGCTATAGGGAATTTTACATTAAAAATGATTAAAATGTTGAAGGGAACTGAATAAAATTACAAGACAAGGGGAGCTATTCTATTTAAAAAAGTTGACCTTGATATCATACCTTTTTTGGGACACACTGCAACAGTAAAAATTGGTTCAGAAAATGTGCAAATGAAAAGCAAAAACAACGGGTCTGAGCGATTTTTCGAGAAGTAAACTTCCGATTTTTAAATAATTATATACAATATATTTGCCGCTGTAGGGATACGAAAATGCTTAAAAATTCGAACTATTTAATAATATAAAAAAAAAGAAACTGGACATTTTCAGAATATTGCGGTTTCAAGAAAATTGTTGTTGGTAATAATGAATTCCTACATACCCCAAGCTAAAGCAAAAATGCACAACAACAACCCAGTTGACCTCATTTTCTTCAAATGGAGCCTTTGTGAATCTAGTCTATTTATATATAACTTGAAAGTAAAATAGTATAGTCTCTAAAGATTAGATAACATCGTGATCAATACATCTTAATTGTTCAAGTGGCGATTATTTGCTTTATTAAGTAAATGCAATGTCAAAAGTTGGGTTTTTGTTTATTAATTACATGATCGATCACTACAGAAACTATTGTTCTAAATCTATTTTTCACAAACAATTATTCGAGGTGGATAGACTGCTCTAATTTGAAGTAAACCCTCATTGAAGCCCGTTAAATTTAATTTTACTGTTTTACGCCTTTAATGTTGTTATTAATTATTTACCATGCAGTATCTATTATTCATTCAAATGCGGGTTTTTGTTTTCCTGTATTTCACGTAATTTTTTGCAGGAATTTTCAACATAATCATGTACTGTTAAAGTTAAAACTGCTTAGGTTTATGTTTTAGTTACTCGGAGCTGGTGGAGCTAATTTTGATACATTTTGAAACACTCAACAAAACATCTATTCTAAGTGAAAGATACTTCCATAATAAGGCTATGAATACTTTCATGGTCCGTCAAAAAATTTCCAGCTTCATAAGCCGTAGAGCACCAAATCAGAGTCAGATTTCAGACGTTTCATTCACATCTGCGGTGAATCGAAGGCTGTAAAAGTAATGGAAGAAGTTGCTGCTGAAAGGCTGGTTCTTTACTGGGCTGCTGTTTTTATACTATACTGTGATCTCATTAGCTTCCCTCATAACTCTTGAAGAGAAGTGGTGTGTTTGGTCTAAAACATCTGCTTCTTCGAAGATAATTTGGGAATTACATAAGTGCGTGCTCCACTACAGCAGATTTTTCCGTCCGTTTTAATCTACAACGATGATTGCGGAACACAAGAAGAGTTGCATATTGGGACAGACGGACAAATCTGCTGATGCACGTGCTTATGAAAAGCCGCCAAACGAAGACGACTTCGACCGTTACCTCGATACGGCTGCAATAATGTTGATCGCCGATCTGAAGAAAGTGCCAGGACAAAAATTTCAATGGTCCAGGGCTCCTTCGCGAATCCATTCAACGAACATTTTATAGATTCATATTGATAATGAATTTTACAAGTGGGATATGTCTGCATATTTCAAAACAACACATTCTGGATAGCAATGTTTGTGATTAAAATTTATCATTCTACTTGGAGCAGGTACCTAAAGATATTATCTTAAAATTAAAAAAAATAAGTACGTTAATGTGATAAAATGATCAGTTTTTGCATCTTTGTCGAGTACTAGTGTTATTCATGCTTTATTTTGGTTATCGATCTTTTTTATTTAGACTATGTTTTTAGCAAGTATGGTGCAATTTCTTCTGCTGCTTGCACGGTCGCTTCTGTTCTGTGATTTGCGTTTTTTGATAGAGGTGTAGTTCAACGTTGTTGATTTTGTTTTCTGTTTCATCTCTCATTTTGCCAACAGTAACTTTTATTTCTTTTTCGGTCTCATTTGTTTTTTCCTATTTGCGGTTGTTTCTCTGAAATCGAATGGATAATTTGAAAAATAATTTTTTACTACTCTACTTTACCGTAATTGTATTACTTGAAGCCGGTTTTGTTAGAGCGTGTCTCTCCATCCATCTGATGTCAAAGTGAAAATTATTTTTTACTTGAATCTTGAATTTTTCTTCAAACTTGCACAACTGCGTCAGTATTAAGGGGTTTAAATTGGGAAAAGTTCTTCTTAATTTAAGCAAAAGGTGAGGCATTAGTCGAGTGTGATTAAATAGCGACATACCTTTAGAGATAAATAATCTTAATTTCTTAAAAATAAAAAGTAAAATATGTGTATAAGTAATAAAAAGCAAGATGTTACATAGTCAATTTTAAAGTCTTGATAGTTATACTATTTTTTCCCTTGTCCTTCTCCTTTCTCCATTCAGTGAGTGTGTGTTTTGTGAACGATAATTCCTAGTTATTTGGTATCTTCCTTTGGTGCAGTTATGTGACCATCAGTTCTTATTCTTGGTTGCGTTGGTTTGATGGTTTGGGTGGAGAGTTCGTGTTTAGCTAGATTTATGAACCACCAAATTATGTCTTTTGGTGTTTACAGTTCGTATAATAATTCTTTGTGCTATATGCTGTCGAGGGCTTTGTTAAGGTCCATTAACAAACTTGCTGATTTATCATCGTTTAGAAGTGCTGTTAGTCAAAACAAACAGGTAAACAATATTTATGCCGAAATATGTCTATGTCTTTATCAGTTTAGGCAAAGACCATCCTGTATACATAATTGTTGATTGGAAAAATTGTTAT